TGGCATACCGACATATCTCTGGTTGTACTGGTCCATTTAGTTTTCTTGGCAAGGATACTGGAGTGGTTTGCCATTGCCTTCCCCAGGGATCACGCTTGGTCTGACCTCTCTGCTACAACCGTCCCGTCTTGGGTGGCCCTTCACGGTTTCGCTCATGACATCATTGAGGTGCTCAAGCTCCAGCGCCCCGACAAGGCGGTGATCCTTTGCTGGAGACCCCAAAAAATGCATATGGGATATATTGAGCATGGTGATCAGATCATGATATGAATAAACATAACAGTTTAAATAATGTACCAGTAAGGCCTTCTCGTGGACCGCCATGAGAATTTGGAGGGGGGGGGGCTGAAGCCCCCCAAGCCCCCCCCCCAGCTACATGCCTGTATGAGGCCACTCTGAGTCCCCCTCGGGGTTGAGAAGGGCAGGGCACAAATATGGTAAATAAATAAATAAGACTTGGATTGAAGCAACAAATTCTTTTATGTTTTATATAACCTTATGCACATAATGTGAAAGTCATTTTATACAACATGAAACAAAATGTGTGTGCAATAAAACATAGGAAAGCAAAGGTGTCCCCATCTCAACATTGTTCACATGGCTATCCATGGAGTACTTTGGCGCACTTTGAATTTTGGCATTCTGAATGAGATGCGAGACGAAGATGGGGTGAAGGAGAGAGGGAGGGAAGCCAGGCAGGTGCTCAGCCTCCAGGGCTCACCTTTCCTGGCTATGCAGTTGCAGCGAGTACCTGGGGCAAGCAGGGTAATTGGGGAGCCTTCCCTTGCAAAGAAATAAAGAAGATTGAGAGAGACAAGGGACCACTGGGATGGGATGACCATCCCAGTGGTCACACATAACACTGAAAAAGGTGACACATAACACTGAAAAACAGATATTTTTCAGTGTTATTCTCTTGATTCTGAAGATATATTCTCTGCCTTGCAAGGAATTCCTTTAAAAAAATTACATTAGGATCTTTGCATATGATATGGAGGGGAGGGGATTAGCTGATGGTACTATTGCTATTATCCCGATTGAAACAGTTTTTCCTAAAACATAGTAACCAATAATTCTAGCTAAAATAGTTTTGCATAGATTTTGCTTTGAAAATGTATTGAATTCCAGTGAATGGTAAAGTATGTTATACTTATTTTGCACAAATTGCCATTTGAATATAGATCTAGACACGTTTCATTATTTTTGAATGTAATTTTTCTAATTGTATTATAGATTGTGTCAAATAATTAATGAATTAAAAAAAAAAAGAATACTACCTTGAGGTGTGCCAACTTCATTTTTACTTCTCCTAGGATCAAGTTCCTGATGCCTCCCTTCACCTTGGTCCATCTTCCTACTCAAACAATTAATAGCAGAATGTTAAAAAAACCAAGAGGGTTTAATAAATATAGTCTTTAAAAAAGAGAAGTGAATGTTTTGCAAGCCTGGTATGCATGTTGCTTCATGTGTAGTACCTTCTACGAAGCATTGTTCCTAAGAAACATTTAACACAGCATTTTGCAATCTGGAGGTCAGAACCCCTAGGAGGGTTGCAAGGGGGTGTTGGAGGGGTCACCAAAGACATGGGAAGTGAGGAAGGGGGATAACCAGCAAAAATTGGGGAAAATGTTTTTCCTCTTTCAACACCCTCTCCCCCCCCCCAGCAGTAAAATTGACTATCCTTCGGTCTCTAGCACACCCTTGTAGCCTCCACCCGGATAATGGAACAGTACACTTGGAGTTTTAGGACCTGATAACATCCCCTTTCGAACATTTGCTTTCTCCACTGCTGTCCCAGTGTCATCTGGATCCCTATCTCTACAGCAGTATTTCTCAACTTGGAGGTCAGGACCCCTGGGGGGGTTGTGAGTGGATGTCAGAGTCGCCAAAGACCATCAGGAAACACAGTATTTTCTGTTGGTCATGGGGCTTCTGTGTGGGAAGTTTGGCCCAATTCTATCATTGGTGGCGTTCAGAATGCTCTTTGATTGTAGGTGAACTAGATATCCCAGCAACCACAACTCCCAAATGTAGAGGTCTATTTTCCACCAGTGTTCACATTTGGGCATATTGAGTATTCATGTCAAGTTTGGTCCAGATCCATCAATTTTAGAGTTCACAGTACTCTCTGGATGTAGGTGAACTACAACTCCAAAACCCAAGGTCAATATTCACTGAACCCTTCAAGTATTTTCTGTTGGTCATGGGAGTTCTTCGTGCCAAGTTTGGTTCAATTCCATTGTTGGTGGAGTTCAGAATGCTCTTTGATTGTAGGTTAACTATAAATCCCAGAAACCACAACTCCCAAATGACAAAATCAATTCTGCCCCAAACCCACCAAATTTGGGCGTATCGGGGATTTGTGCCAAATTTGACCAGTGAATGAAAATACCTCCTGCATATCAGATATTCACATGACAATTCATCACAGTAGCAAAATTACAGCTATGAAGTAGCAAAGAAAATAATTTTATGGTTGGGGGCCACCAAAACATGAGGAACCTTATTAAGGGGTCGCAGAATTAGGAAGGTTGAGAACCACTGGCATAGAGCAAGGCATATTGCCCACATAGTTTGGTTCACCAAAACATATAGCCAGGAAGATTTGGAATTTTTGTATTGCACTTTTAAAAACTGTGACCAAAGTTTGAGATTGTTAGCTGCCTTGAGTCCTCAAAGGGAGAAAGGCGGTGCATGAACAGTGTGTGTATGTGTGTGTATATATATAATTGGCCAGACTATTTCAGTATAAACATGGAAAGCTTCACAAACTTGAATGTTTATTGTATTCAGTCCTTCTTAGAGTTCTTTTAATCACTGTGGAGAGACTACGGATGTAGTGGGACATAAAGGAACTTGTAGAAACATTAGCAAAATCTCTCACAAATGGAAGGGCACTGATGAGAACCTTGAATTAATGACATGTTGGACTACTGGAGCGGAAGAATGCTACACTAGTTCCTTGATCGCACGTCTGTTTTAAAAAGGCCACAACTATCAAACAGGACTAGGATGAGGACAACATCTTACAGCAATGAACACAGTTTAATCTCCCATGCTTTTTAACATCTACATGAAACCGCTGGGAGAGGTCTTTGGAGTCGGGTGCCATCTCTACGCAGATGACACACAACTCTACTACTCTTTCCACCAACTCCAAGGAGGCCTCTCGGGTGCTGGACGAGTGCCTGGGCGCTGTGTCTATCTGGATGAGGAGGAACAAGCTGAAGATCAATCCCGACAAGACAGAGGTCCTCCTGGTCGATCGCAAACCGGATCGGGGTATAGGGTGGCAACCTGTGCTGGACGGGGTTACACTCGCCCTGAAGCCACAGGTTCGCAGCTTGGGAGTCCTCTTGGATTCATCGCTCACGCTTGAGGCTCAGGCGTCGGCGGTGTCCAGGAGGGCTTTTGCACAATTGAGACTCGTGCGCCAGCTGCGACCGTACCTCGCGAAGGCTGATCTGGCCGGGGTGGTCCATGCCTTGGTCACCTCTAGATTGGACTACTGCAATGCGCTCTACGTGGGGCTGCCCTTGAAAACGGCTCGGAAATTCCAACTGGTCCAATGGGCAGCAGCCAGGATGTTAACCGGGGCTCCTTACAGAGAGAGGTCAACCCTCCTGTTCAAGGAGCTTCACTGGCTGCCGTTTATCTTCCGAGCCCAATTTAAGGTGCAGGTGCTTACCTACAAAGCCCTGAACGGTTTGAGACCACCCTACCTGCGTGACCGCATTTCCGTCTACGAACCCACGCATTCACTTCGGTCATCTGGAGAGGCCCTGCTCGTGATCCCGCCTGCGTCGCAAGCGTGCTTGATGGGGACTCGAGACAGGGCCTTTTCTGTGGTGGCCCCCCGACTCTGGAACGCCCTCCCAAAAGATCTTAGACAGGCCCCTACATTGGCAGTCTTCAGAAAGAACTTGAAGACCTGGCTGTTCCGATGTGCCTTCTCAGATTAGGAATCTCCAATACCAAGTCCTAGAAGCACTTTAGTAGAATTAAGATTGCTGCACACCGCACACTGCACTTACTTTATAACCCTACATACCCCCTGCCACATCAGCACTTTTAATCTTGTACCCATTACTCTGGCCCGGCCCAGTTTTATAGTGTCTTGATGTATTGTTTATTGCTTGTTGTTTATATTGCTTTAACTGTTTTTAATTTGCTTTGGGTGTTGTATTGTTGTGTTGTGTTTTGAGGCCTTGGCCTATGTAAGCCGCATCGAGTCCTTTGGGAGATGCTAGCGGGGTACAAATAAAGTAATAATAATAATAATAATAATAATAATAATAATAATAATATTATTATTATAATAATAATAATCTCTAAATTTTGTAGTGTGTGCATGTGTTCCTTCAAGTTGCCTGTGAGTAAGGCAACCCCATGAATTTTATAGGGCTTTCTTAGGCAAAAAATACTCAGAGGTGTTTTTGCTAGTTCCTTCCTCTAGCCTACAACATCTGGTAATCATTGGTGGTCTCTGATCTAAATACTAAGCAGGGTTGACTCTGCTTATCTTTCAAGATCAGATGTGATTTGATGAATATCTGGCATCAAGTCAATTTTTATTTATTTATATCCCATCTTTCTTTCCTCGCTGGGATGCAAAGCTGCTTGCAACACATTAGGGGTGCTCAAGGGTCATATTCAAAACAAGCACCAGTGGTTAATATGTACATGGGCAGAGTCATGGTGAAACAACTTCCTTCCAGTGATTCAGGCCATGAAAGCCTTCGACAAGACATTCAACTTCCTTCTGTTTGTCTGAAAAGGAGGAAGAAATAGTAACACCGTGTAACAAAATTTGAAAAAAATGCTGGTCTGGGTTTGAAAGTGTTATTTCCTGTTTAATTGTGAGATGATGATGATGATGATGATGATGATGATAAACTTTTATTTATCCACGGCCTCCATCTCCCATAGAGACTTTTTGCAGCTTACAAGATAACACACAATGGTGCCATACAACATATAAGATGCAATACAAACAACATATAAGATTACTAACACAGTAGATAAAACCAACATATAAGATTAATAACAGCAACCTCTATTAAATAGAGACAGTAAAATATTAATGTGTATCTTTCAGGAAAGTTTAGAACAACTTTCTTTCCTCTAGACTTTGAAGGTCCCATCTACACTGCCATTTTAAACTACATGATATGAGTCTACACTAGATGGGGCCATAGACTCATTGTAATATCTAGTAAGCAGTAGCCAAAAAGCCAACGGGATTTTTGCCTGCATCAATAGGAGTATAGTGTCTAGATCCAGGGAAGTCATGCTGCCCCTCTATTGGTCAGACCACACCTGGAATATTGTGTCCAATTCTGGGCACCACAATTGAAGGGAGATGTTGACAAGCTGGAATGTGTCCAGAGGAGGGTGACTAAAATTATCAAGGGTCTGGATAACAAGCCCTATGAGGAGCAGCTTAAAGAGCTGGGTATGTTTAGCCTTCAGAAGAGAAGGCTGAGAGGAGCCATGTATAAATAAGTGAGGGGAAATCATAGGGAGGAGGGAGCAATCTTGTTTTCTGCTGCCCTGGAGACTAGGACATGGAACAGTGGCTTCAAAATACAAGAAAGGAGATTCCATCTGAACATTAGGAAGCACTTCCTAACTGTGAGAGCTGTTCAGTAGTGGAACTCTCTGCCCCGGAGTGTGGGGGAGGCTCCTTCTTTGGAGGCTTTTAAACAGAAGCGGGATGGCCATCTGTCGGGGTGCTTTGAATGTGGTTTTCCTGCTTCTTGGAAGGGGGTTGGACTGAATGGCCCATGAGGTCTCTTCCAACTCTATTATCCTACGATTCTAAGTGAACTTACTAAATTTACCTTCCCCCCACACACACAGTTTACACTGTGTCAAGGAGAAGGAGAGGTGAGGGTTGGTTCAGGGCTGATTAGGAGTGACAGCCATTAGAGGTGGTGGCCTAAACTATGCAGGGGCCGATCCACATTCACTATTCTGGTTTGGACCTAGGATAAGTGATCAGTGTAGATCTGCCCCCAAGTATCAAGAACTGCAGCATTCTTTGAAAGGATCTGGAAAGTAGTTTTAATTTTTCGTAATACAAGCAGTAATCTTGTTCATTCTAGGGTACAGCTGCATTGTAGAATTAATGCATGTATATGCACCCCTTGTTATTGGGTTGCAAGCATTTTTCCTTTCATGTAAATTTGTAGCTCTTTCGATGCACAATGTTCCTAATGGTAATTACTGAGAAACGAATGCAGTTGTTCTAATATAAACATATTTTTCTCATTTCTCCCCAGTGATTAAAGTGTGTTTTTTTCCACATTGTCCAAACATGCATATTTTAGTTCTATTTTTCATGGTAAAAAAGACAAATAAA